CGGCCCGTCAGACGCAACCCGGGGCCAGCTTTACGTGTACATCTTGGGGTGACCGAGCGAGCCCGTGCTCCCGACCACTTCAGGGCCAACCCTGGCCTAGGCCCTGTTTACGCAGCGCTTTCACAGGCTCGTCTCTCTTAACCCGCCTGCTCTCAGGCGCGGCCGCGGAGACTGGCCAATGGTCAACTGTTCAGCGTGTCCGCATTTCACAGAAGAAAACGGGCCCGGGGGTTGGGACGCGCTCCGGGGCGGTTACCCAGCCAGGACCTCGCGCCCGCCCCGCCTCTCCGCCCCTCCGGACGCAGGCGCAGTCGCTCAGCTCCTTCCGGAAGAAGCTCCCGAGCCCCGCTGCGTCGGAGCGGCGGGCCACGAGAGGCGGGGCCTCGCCCGGTCCTACGTCACTTGCGGGCGACGGCGACGGCGACGGCGCGAGTCAGCATGCTGTCGGCGAGTCGCCGCGGGCCGGTCTGGCTCCAGCTGCGGCGCCTCTGGAGGCGGCCGGGGGTCGCGGTCTGTCCGTCCCTGCGCGGCCTCGGACGAGAGCCCTTCGAGAGAGCGCGGGCACTGTGTTGCGAGTCCTCGCCAAGAGACGCGCGAGGTGGACCGAGAGAGCACAAGGCGGCCCTGAAGAAAGCCCCCGGCGCAGAGTCGCTTCCGTCTCTCCCTCCGAGCGTCCGGAGCTTTGGGACCAGATGTCTTTCGTCTCTGGAAAGCCTCAGATTGCCGACGCCTGGAGAGGAGTCACCCCCTCGAGAGCGCGAGGACTCGAGTGGAGACCGGGCCCAGTCCGACCCCTCACACCGGGGATCTGGGGCTCCCTCACGGCCCCGCCTGGTCGAAGAACTTCACGGCTCCTCTTCCTGGTCAGCTTCCAGAGAGGAGCCCTTCCGGGCTGGGGAGCTGATTTTAGCTGAGACTGGGAAGAGAGAAACACAATTTAAAAAATTGTTTAGGTTGAGCAACGCCGGACGTTTAAATAGTAGCTGGGGGGCAGTCCCGTTCAGCGATATCGTGGGCAAGTTCCCCGGCCAGGCACTAAGGAGCTCCTCTGGTAAGCTCTTTGTGCTGAGGAGGCCGGCGCTGGAAGACTATGTATTACTGATGAAAAGAGGTTCTGCCATAACATACCCAAAGGTAACGCACGGGAGTTAGGTGCGCAATGGTTCCAGAAAGAGCGAAACTGATGCCATACTACTGCAGACTGATTCACGTACTTAAGCACAACTCAGACGGTTCGGGTTTTTGTTATCAGCCTTAAAAAAAATAAAAAATAAAAAAGTCGATAGATACGACTTTTACCCTCATTTTAGGAGGATCAGCCAGATTTTAATTGTAATTGGAGAGTCTCGATTCTCTGATCTGTAAAGTGAAGGGAATATCGACAACTATATAGAGCGATGTGAACGCACTAGGCACATAGTAAGTACTTGTATTTGTTCCCCATTAACTCAGGTTTGCAAGTTCAGCACTCAGCATGTTGAACTCTTACAAGGACTATTTTTTAGTCACATTATGGTGACATTTAATAAAGCATGTTACTAGAGGTATATGTTATCAACAATAGATCTATTACTATGCTTTCCCTTTAGGAAAAAAGTTTTGTGCTAAAATTAAACACTAAACATAAAAGGAATATCCTTTATGAATAAAATAGCTACCTAGTTCCTTGTTAGAATCTTATACTATTCATCCATTGCTAGTAGTTTATTTCAGTCCTTAATTACAGTCACAGTCCTTGAGTAGAATGTTCCTTTGTAATTGTAACAACTCCTCCTATTCTGAGATGAGGAATCATTATTTATTCAGCGAATTGTCACCTACCTTGTATGTTCAGGGAACTACTGTAGGGAGGTAGAGTGGTGAACCACAGTCCTTGCTCTTAGCACAGACTTTACATCCTAGAGGGGGTGACAAAGAACAAACAAGTAAATGAAAGAATAAGGTAATTTCAGGTGGTGCTGAGTGTCATGAAGACAGATTAACAGAGACAGCGTATTGGGTGATGTGGGGGAAGAGAACTTTGTATGTACGGTGGTTAGAGGAGGTCTCTAAGGAGGCACATTTGATAAGACACCTAATTTAAGGAAGAGCCAGTCATGCAAACATCTAGGAGCCAAGTGTTCTTGCAAAGGAAAAAGTATTGCAGGGTTCCTATTGTGTTTACCTCTGTTTTGTTTGAAACTGTTTCTACCTTGTGATTCTTTCCTTAAATTCCCCACTCTTTCTTTAAACTAGGACAATCTGCTGATTTCTCCTTTTTTCTGAGCTCTGTTGTACTTATTGTCTATAATACTGCTTTATTAGCTAGTTGATTCTTGAATCTCTTATTTCATCAAGTAAAATATAAACTCTTGCTAGGCAGGGCCAGGGTTTAATCTTTTTTTTTTCTCTCCTCCAAGTCCAACATACTATTTGATAAGAGTAGGTGCTTAGTACGTATTTATTGGTTACTGTGTTTAAATCATAGGATATAAATATGATGCTGTTGATGATGAATATTCACCCAGGCGATACTGTTTTGGAAGCTGGCTCCGGCTCTGGTGGAATGAGCTTATTTTTATCCAGAGCAGGTAAGAGATTGGGATAAATGAGCTGAATTTAGATAACAAACATTCAATCTTTTCATAATAACAGAAAGTTAAATAAAGATGTTTCAGAAAATATTCACATAACTTTGAGATATAAAGAATTCTCTTTAAAACCAAATGTAAGCAACTTAATTTTATCTTCATTTTGTACATTTTTCCAGTCACTGTCTTTCTGACCTCCTGTTTCGCTTTCCCTGTCTCTATTCATACTTTTTAATGCTTCTACCTTTTTTTTTTTTTTTAAAAAAAAACTAAACTTTTTATTGGAGCATAACATAGCTATAGAAAAGTGCATGGATCATAAGTTTATATCTCAATGAATTTTTATANTTTTTATTGGAGCATAACATAGCTATAGAAAAGTGCATGGATCATAAGTGTATATCTCAATGAATTTTTATATAGTCACCACCCTCCTGTAGTAATTACCCAGACCAAGACAGGGAATGTTACTGCACCATAGAAGCCCCCCATGTTCCCTCTCAGTCCTTATTCTTCCTGAAGGTAACTACTATTCTGACTTTTATCATCATTGATTAGTTTTGCCTGTTTTAACCTCATATAAAAGGAATCACACAGTATGTACTCTTTTGAGTCTGGCTACTTTCATGCAACATTCTGTTTGTGAGATTCAGCCATTGCATGCAGCAGTATTTCTTTCATTTTAGTTGCTATATAGTTACTCCATTTTAGAAACAAATCTCAATTTATCCATTCTACTCTTGGTGTGCATTTAAGACAAATATTATGAATAGTGCTACTCTGAACATTCTTGTATTATTTGTAATAGCATAAGGCTAAGAAAAAACTACTTTTTTATTAGTAGGCGATTGCTTAAATAAACTATGGGATAGCAGTATAATGGAATATAAAAGATGTTAAAAATAATGCAGTAGATTGTTAATCACTGAAATGGCACTGATAAGTAAAAAGGAAGGTACAGGACACAATACATCACAATGTGTATTACAACAAAAAGAAAGAGGTACTTGTACACTTGTACAGGCACCAACTGTCTTGGGAAGGATAAATAACTGGTGATATGGTTACGTCTGAAGAGGGAGATTAATTGGGTATCTGAGATGGGATAGAGACTTTTGTAACCTTGAAATATTTGAATTTTTTCACATCTATACGATACCTTTTCACAATAATTTTTTTATATTTTGTGAACTGATTAATACTATGAAATATCATAAATTATCTCTTTAAATTAAGTTGGATCACAAGGACGAGTCATAAGTTTTGAAGTACGAAAAGACCATCATGAACTGGCTAAGAAGAATTACAAACACTGGCGTGATTCATGGAAAATTAGTCATGTAGAAGAGTGGCCAGACAATGTGGATTTTATTCATAAAGATATTTCAGAAGCAAGTGAAGACATAAAATCTTTAACATTTGATGCGGTAAGTTTTCAAAAGTGGTTCCTATGATATTACTTAATACTGAGTACAAAGAAAACAAGGCTCACACTTCTTTTGTCTGGGAGAGGATCTTCCTTCATTATTTGTCGCATTTCTTTATCTGGCATGGGAGGAATATTTCCTTCAATATCATTTCCTTCAATATCATAACAGAGAGACTTACTGAATCAGTTGCCAAAATAAATATGGGGTAATGACCAAGGAGGAGGAGTTGAGCATCATAAACCTCAGCATTTCTAGATAAAGGAATAATAATTTGGAAGCAGCGTTGAGAGCATGTTGAGCCCAGCACCTGACCTCATGTGAGATTTGGGGTTCTAAATAGCTTCCATTTAAGAGGGAACAGGCAAGAGGCAACTTTAGACAGTTAAAGTCGGGATGTAGAGGAGTAATCATTAACAATGTTGAGGATAGATGCATTTATCATGAACAAAGTTCCAGAAAGTGGAGTGGAGGAATTTGTGGAAAAGAGCAGCAGTGGGAGGTTGAGTTAGGGGACAAGAAGCAGAGTGGTACGAAGATAAAAGGATAGATGAGCAGAGGATGACATTTTAAGCTGTGACCAGTGTGATGGGGGAGATGTGGGACATGGATGTATTGGCTTCAAAGTTTCAGAATTCTAAGGTAAAGAGCCTCCTGAATTGCCTGTTGGAAGGTTGGATTATTTTAGGACCTTTGTAAGGGAACCTATGTAAGAAATGAAGTTCAAAGAGGAGAGTAATAATTTTTATCAGGACTGATTCTCAACCTTCCTTTTTTCTCTATCCCTTTATGTAACCCGCCTATACTCCTGCCATCCAAAATGATGGTAAATGAATAAAAATGTGTGAAATCACAAAGACACAGAAAAGAGAAAATGGCTAAAAAAGGTTTTTAACAAATTTTGGAAACAGCCTGACCATCAGGAAAGGAATGGACACAATGTAATACTAACAATAGTATTATTTAACGTAGTGAAAGACATGGTGCTTAGTAAAAAAAAGCATTATAAAAGTATGTATGGATGGCCATATATATGTAAAATTTTAAACTATACAAAACATGTATTGTTCATAGTTATACACATATGTTGTAAAACTATAAAATTACTTGGGAACATTACCAACTTCAGGACAATGATTATCTCAGAGGAGAGAAGAGGAGAGGAAATAGAGGGAAATAGTTTTGAAGTCCCTTCAGCCTGGTTCATTCCAGGGCTCCGTATAGCCAATATGACCTTGGGTACATTACTTAATCTTTCTGTGCTTCAGTCACCTCATGTATTAAACAGAAATAATAATATTAATTATAATGGTGCCTATTTCATGGAGTTGTTGAGGATTAAATAATTCATATGAAGTACATAGAAGAGTACCTAGTATATAGTAAATACTAAAATAAATATTTCTATGATTTTCATTTCTCAACTCTTTAAATTCTACTTTTCCTTCAAGCTTAATTAGAGGATTATCATCTTCCTCTGAATTACTGAACCATTTTTGTTTCTTGATTCAGCAAGCATTTATTAAAGACCTGCCATGCGCCATGCATTATGCTAAAACAAAAATAAATTATACATTTAAAGGAGCTCTCAATATAGAAGATAAACATATTAACAATTATTAGAAAGACTCAGAAGCGTGAAACACTATGGCTAGAGTTGGTATGAAATGAAGCTGCAGATGCAGTCATAGGGGCTATATCTAGTTATGTATATCAAGTTAGGGGGTGTAGACACTATCTTGTAGATTATGGGAAACTACTGATGAGTTTTTAAGTAGGGAAGTAGAATGTTCAGATTCCTGATTTAGAATCATTGTGGTGGAAGAATGGAGGCTGTGAGTCCATATAGAAAGTGATTGTAATGTTTCAACAAGATGAGGCCTTGAACTAAGGCATTAGCCGTCGATGACTTGGAGAAATACTTAAGAGGTAGATTTGTGGGACTGGATACTTTTAATTCAAACAGAAGCATAAAACCCCACAGATTATCAAAAGAATTCTAGATAAAGAAAATGATGACTGCCAAGTTTCTGGTTTGAGTGATTGGATGAATGGTTAATGTTAACCGAGAATAGAGCATTGAAGAAGGTTGACAGGAATCTTGGCTGTCTGATTTCTGGTCCTTGTCAATAACAGAGTAAAACTACAGTCAAAGAAGCCTACTTATGTCCATCATGTTGATCCTTTGATTCAGTCATTGAGCTCTTTACCGGGATATCTAATAGAAAACTTAAACTCATGTCCATACCTGAATTCTTGATTATTTCTCCCTGATCTTGCTTCTCTCATAGTCTTCATCATTTTCCTCATGAGTAAATGGCATCTTCATTCTTTCAGTGGTTTAGGCTAAAAACATTGGATTCATTCTGACTCCTGTGTTTCTCTCACATTTCACAGCCAATCCTATTTGGCTCTTACCTTTTCAGAAGTCATACCGCTTCTCATCACAGCCAACGCTATTTGCTGTTGCAAGGCCATCATTATCCTTCCAGGTTGCCCTCTCCCAGCCTTTTCTATTTATAGTTTTAAAAGGTCATAATGTACTTATTGCGACTAAATTATACACTTAAAATGGCAAGTTTTATTATGTTAACATGGAAAAAAGGTTTTAAAAAAAGTCATATTATTCTTTAAAGCTCTCCAGTGGCTTTTTCTCTTCCCGAGTAAAGCTAAAGCCCATAAGATTCTACATAATCTTGTCCCTCTCCTGCTCCCACCACATCCCACCATTTGGAACTCATCTCTTACCATCCTCCCCATTCTGTCTCCACTTCAGTGACAGTGGCCTTCTCACACTCACCAAGTGTCATACAGCCTCAGAGCATTGAGCACACTTTCCCCTTAAGTTTCTACAGGGTAAGCTTAATCATTTTCTTCCAGTCTCGTCACTGACCAACCTGTGTACAAAATAGCACTTTCCTTCCCTGCCCTCATATTCTGCTCTGTACTTCTATAGGTCTTCATGGCACTCATCACCCTCTGACTTACATATTTATTGGATATTTGTTTAATGTCTGTCCCTTTATTAGAATATAAGTTCCTGTGAAATAAAATAGTATATAAGCTCCCATTATATCCTTACCACTTAGCAAAATGCTTGGCACATGGAAGGTGCTCAAATAGTTGGTGAATAAATTAATAATGATGTTCCTTGACTCATTAATAATGTTTAAAAACCCACAAACAACAAAACACTGTCACTGTTGATGTGCCGACTTCTCTTAGCTGTCTGGAATCATCTTTCACTAATAGTCACTTTATTTTCTATTTTGACCATATTTATTTTGTTTTAAATTATTTTTTGGAAAATTTTATTTTATTTACTCATTGTATTCATTTGACATCTTTTGTTAATACAGCCTGTATTCTGCAACTGAATGAAGAATAAAAAAGCAAGGCTGCGCTCTCCCTCTCAGGAGCAAGCCCTCGCCTTTCCCCTCCCCCATTTCTCCCCAGACACATTACCTTTGCCTTTCTCTCCCCTAAGCTCCAAGGGCCCTTCTCTTGCTTCTGTAACTTGTTTCCTGAGCCTATGCAGCCCAGCTGGCTCACTTTTACTACCTCTGTCACTTTCCATTCATTCATTCATTCATTTGAGAGTGAGAAGGAAAGAGAGACATTGATGTGTTGTCCCATTCATTTATGCATTTGTTGGTTGATTCCTGTATGTGCCCTGACCGGGATCAAACTGCAACCTAGGCATATCAGGACAATGCTTTAACTGAGCTACCCGGTCAGGGCTGTGACTTTCTAAGTAAGCTTTCTCGTTAAAAAAAAAAAAAAAAAGGAAGTTAAGGACATGATTCTTACATTTTAGAATATCTAAAATTAAAATTCAGAACTTTTCTTTTGAATATAAAAATCCGTATTTGAGCCTTGGCAGGTCTGGCTCATTTGGTTGAGTGTTGTCCTCTGCACCGCAGGGTTGCCAGTTCAGTTCCTGGTCAGGTCACACGCCCAGGTTGTGGGCTGGATCCCTAGTCAGGGGCGTGCAAGAGGCAGCCCATGCATGTTTCACTCTCACGTTGATGTTTCTCTCTTTCCTTCTCCTTTCCTCTCTTTCTAAAAATCAATAAAAATAATGTATATAAACCGATGAACAAAAAAGAAACGGAGGCATTGAAGCATGCAACAGACTGACGTATTTCAGAGGGGAAGGGGAGGGACGGGAAGAGATTAACCAATGAACTTAGATNGATAAAACTGGAGAATATTATGCTAAGTGAAATAATCCAATCAGAGAAAGGCAAGAGTCACATGATCTCAGTCATATATGGAATCTAATGAACAAAATAAATGATGAATAAAATAGATCCAGAGAAATAGAAGCATGGAACAGACTGATGAATCTCAGAAGGAAGGCAGGGGTGGGGGAATCAATGAGGAGAGATTAATCAAATAACATATCCGTGTATGCAGGACCCATGGACACAGACAATAGTGTGGAAAATGCCTGGGTGGGGTGGAGGTGGATGCTGTGTGGAGGGGATCAGTGGGGAGAAAAAGGGGGACATCTGTAATGCTTTCAGCAATAAAGATAAATTAAAAATAAAAAATCTTTTAAAAAAGAAAACATATTTGAGATAATGTGAACTTCTGTTGCCAAAAGCTGAACCAAAGCATTGAGACTTTGGCCCTGGCCAGTGTGGCTCAGTTGGTTGGGCATCGTCCTGTGCACCAAAAGTTTGCTGGTTCAGTTCCCGTCAGGGCACATGCCTGTGTTGCAGGCTTGGTCCCTAGTGGGGGTATGCAGGAGGCAGCTGATAGATGTTTCTCCCTCTCCCTTCCTCTCTCTCTCAAAATAACAATACTTTTAAAGTATTGAAACTGTGTGTGTGTGTGTGTGTGTGTAATATATGAAAGTATAAAATGCCCAGTGTAAGACATGCCATTACCATTCTTATGTAGTCAAGTACTGTGACAAATTGTATAATAATATTTTTTGAGGAGCAGAAAAATGACAGTTAGTACTATACTCTAAAAAATGAAATACTTTAACTGGGTAATTGCTCTCTGCAAGTGTATCGTTTTACCATGATAGAAAACCTATGTTTTATTGAAACAGAACTTAGTCTGATTCTCTTTTCCCCTCACAGGTAGCTTTGGATATGTTGAATCCTCAAGTTGCTTTGCCTGTTTTATACCCAAGTCTTAAACAGGGTGGTATATGTGCTGTATATCTAGCAAAGTGAGTGATGTGGCTATTACTTGTAATTTTAAACACGTTCATTTTGTAACTGAGTTAGATATATATGTCATTTCATAAAACTTATGAAACAGCATATGTCCCAAATCATTCATATTGCTGTTTAAATCATCCTTTACATAAATGGCAATATAAGATGCATATTTCTTCTGGCAATTTAGAAGAAAAGTTTAAAAAGTATAATGTGAACAATAATGTTAAGTTATGTTCTCTATATGTTTTACTTAGTATTTTGTGAAATTGCTTATTATGTGCTGTAACTTGCACTTTGACTTTAAGGTATAGTAAATTTAAACATAAGGTTGTTTTACTAGAAATTTAAAGTACACTTTTTACTTTTCTGAAAGCATCACACAGATTATTGAACTTTTAGATGGAATTCGCATCTGTGAACTTGCTCTCTCATGTGAAAATATAAGTGAAGTCATTGTCAGAGATTGGTTGGTTTGCCTTGCAAAACAGAAAAATGGAATTTTAGCTCAAAAAGTAGAACCTAAAATCAACGTGCATTTACAATTACATTCTCAAAAGAAAATCAGAATTGAAGGTGAGATGTTTCAAGAGGACGACCATGGTGAGCTTTAATTTTATTTTATGCATGTGTTTGCAGTAATAAATGGAGAATAGGTTCTTGAGTGTATTGACCAGTAAATTCTAAAAATATTTCTTAGGGATTTTTTTGGTATCTAAATTGAAATGTGGTATTTATGTTTTTAAATTAAAATCTGTCAAGGGACAGACTAATTACTTCGCTTGCCCTTTATGTAAAGCTATGATACCTTTGAAGAACTTAGCTTCTTAAAATATTCATATTTTACCTGTGACAAGGAGGTTGACTTTTGAAATATTTTGTATATATACTAAAGAATTTTTAAACTTTAGGTCAGTGATTATTACTGAAGGAAAATAATTCCATAGGACCTGCTATGCAAATAACTAATATTTACTATTTATGTGGCTGTAATTCTCTAAATTTAGGTCCTTATTGTATATACACATTATTTAGGCTATGAACAAGTGTTCATATATCCCTTGATTTATGATATGAGTTTATCTATTTGGTTATAAAACCATATTGTTTATCATGTAATCCTTCATAAATTGTTTCTGTAAAAGAACTGGCATAGTAGCTCTAAAACAAAATGCTAAATAAAATATGTGAAACAAAAACATAGTATGCCCGGCCGGGCGTGGCCCAGCGGTTGAGCATCGACCTGGGATCCAGGCGATTGGGGTTCGATTCCCGGTCAGGGCACATGCCCAGGTTGTGGGCTCGATCAATGACTCTCTCATCATTGATGTTTCTATCTCTCTCTCTCCCTCTCCTTTCCTCTCTCTGAAATCAATAAAGATAGATTAAAAAAAAAAAAAAAATTTAAAAAACAAACAAAAAAAAACTTATAGTAAAGGAACATTAATTTGTATTTTAAGTTTTGAAATATTTGGATAAATTATGAAATATTTTATGTAGCTTACAATATATATTTTGTTCTATAACAGAAGAATCACATTCTGATTTTCCATATGGATCATTTCCCTATATTGCTAGACCTATACACTGGCAAATTGGTCATACAGGTGAGTAATGTTTTCAGGCCATATTAAATGGTCTTTTCTTCTCATTATTATAATGACCTTACTTTTTTTTTCCCCCTTAAATTAGCTTTTCTTGTCAAGTTGAGGAAGTTCAAACCACAACTTAACTGAGTACCTCAGATGACAGCAACTGATTTGAAGACAGAAATGTATCAAAATAGAACTTTATGTTGCAGATCATTACTTTCACAGATTGGTATTTTTAGCTATTACTATGATTTGTGTAACTTTTACATATATTTTTGAAAAATAACAAAAGCTAAAGAAAGATGTGTAACATTTCAAAACTGCTTAAATGTCCCATTTTGACATTCGTCTTGTAGTTAGTTTGACATATTGTAGTTAATGATTCCAAGTTGGTTTAGTAGAGCCATCTCATTCTTCACTGCCTGTAAACCACTCCATAGATTTGTCTGTCTTCATGAAATTAGTTTTCTTTTCTTTGTTTGATTGATGGTCATTGGCTACTGAAATAAAATATGCATTTTAAGATAAATTTAATGTATCTGTATTTTAAATACATATTTTAATGGCTTGTATGATCTTAAAAATTACAAAGAAATCTGGGTTTTAGTAAATAATGTGAGGAAACTGATAAAAATGATATAATCACTTTAAAAATTGTAGCAGAAGATGTAACAATTCTTGCATCACTTTTATCCTTCTCAGAATCATTTTAACCAGCTTAAAAGAACATCAGAATTATTCTATTATATAAGTCAAATGCTTGGAGAAATGTACTTTGTAAATATGAATTAATTAGGACTAAGACTTATTATTCATATGCACCAGTTATTAGCATTTACCATGTACCTTACATTGTTTTAAGAATGTAATAGTTTTTTCATTTAGTATGTATAGCTTATCTTTAAGGTTATCCGTATTTTACAGACAAACAAAGGTTTAGAGGGGTTAGGTTGCTGTTTAAACATAGATGTTTTATAGGTTTAAAGTAGTAATGCCTGGGAGGATAAATGCTATTCCTGGATTTAGCCCTTAAGCTATAACTGTTTAAAAGAATATGTACATTCTAAATAACATTTTACATAGTTTTCATTATGTGGAAAATTTTAACCTAAAATCTCTGCCTTTATAGACTTTCAGCCTATGGTAGAGTTGACATTTTTCACGTAAGTATAAAGCTAAAACTATTATATATGCTCCAAAGAAGTACAGGGTGCTGAACCAGGGTTTTGCTCTGGTTAAGTAATTGCCTGTGAAGTGACAGCTGAGCTGAGACCTGAGTGGTAGATGGGAATTAACTGCATCAGGGCATATGAGAGCAAAAAGGCCAAGATGTCGGGGTTGAGTGAAACGAACTGGAAAGATAGGTAAGGGTCAGGCCATGCAGGATCTTGTAGCCCTGTGAAGGAGTTTGCCTACCCTAAGAAAAATGGGGTGCCATTGAAAGATTTAATGAAGAAAGAGGTAACACGCTTAGATTTGTGTTTTGAAAAACATCACTCTGGCTGTTTTTGGAGGATTGATTGAATCGTAAGTAGAATGTTCTGGTGCCATATTTCTGTGTGGTAAGTACTGTCTGAACACTCATACAATAATGGCTTTATAGTTTTCATAACATTTCCAGATAACAGAAGCTCTGAAGCATGTGTTTTAATTCCATCATGGAATACTCCCTTTTCTTCTGCCCTTCTGTATAACTAGCAGCAAAATTCCATCCTTCATTTATTGTTTTAAACGCAGGCTTTGTACTACTTAGAGAAGGGGGCTGGCTTAAGAGCAAAGAAAAGTGTGCCTTCTACTCCTATTTCACGTAAAATAGTTTCTGCTCAGTACACTGTGCTCAGTAGATGTTGAATTGAACAAGACCTAATAGTCTCCATTCTAATTTTAAGTTGAGTTGAAAACCAAACTACATAATAAACATTTATTTATATAGTTAATTGAAGTTCAGTTTAAGTCCTTTTTCCATCTCTCCATTGAATGCTAAGCATGTTTACAGTCTGGCTTATGGGACAGATACCTTCTTCTAAAGTTAGATTTCTGTGTTCATGTCTGGTTTTCACTTACCGTCCTGTGAACTCCTAAAGATTTGTGAATGACTCACAACTGTCTTCCCAGTGTTTTCCAGGGGGCCTGCCTTTTCCTCCCAGTCTATGGTCAATAAAAGTTTGCTGATGGTTTTAAGCCTACACTGGATCATGTATTGTTTCATCTGTTGCTTTGGTTGTTCTAGGGGAAACTTTAGGTGTATAGCTCTTGGATTGTGGAAGACTTTAAGTTTAAACTTTATACTTCAGTCCTAGCCAGTTTGGCTCAGTGTTAGAGCATAGGCCCACGGACTGAAGGGTCCAGGGTTCGATTCTGGCCAAGGGCATGTACTTCAGTTGCAGACTTGATCCCTAGCCCTGATGGTTGGGGCATGTGCAGGAGGCAGCCAACCAATGTGTCTCTCTCACATCAATCTTTCTCTCTCTCTCCCACTCTCTCTGAAAAGCAATGGGAAAAATATCCTCAGGTGAGGATTTAAATAAATAAGTAAACTTTATATTTCAGAGACAACAGGGAACTTCTGAAGGTTCCATGGTCATGTAAAAAGAGATAATTTTTAAAAGTCTGTTAGTGGTATCCATGAGTGTTTAAAGGAAGGAAAAAACTGTGAAATTAGAAATTTCATAGTAACACATAGTATACAACTCTGAGGTGATTGGTAGTAATGAACAATAATAAGGCAAGGAAAAGGGGAAGATGTAAACAATGTGTATCGTGAAGAAAGACCCAGATAAGCTGGTAACTTATTGCATGTAGTAGAGAGAAGCTATATATTTTCCAACTTTTATCCTCTGTTCAGCAGCTCTTTCCCCTACTTCTCTGGGCAAAACTAGATTCAGTCAATGGCCAGCTCACACACTTTCTCTGAAAAGCCTTCACCAAGTCTCTCACCCCACAAAATTAATTCTGGAAAATTTTGTGCTCCTAAATGTTGATCATATAATTAGCATTACCCTTATCACATAACTAATTTATAAGCCTTGATTATGCCTTCATTAAGTGTAAGGATTTAAAAATATATATATATCTTTATTGATTTCAGAGAGAGAAAGAGAGACAGAAACATTAATGGTGAGTCATTGATTGGCTGCCTCCTGCAGGCCCCCTACTGGGGACAGAGCTAGCAACCAGGGCATGTGCCCTGACTGGGAATCGAACCTTGATCTCCTGTTATAGGTTGATGCTCAACCACTGAGCACGCCAGCCGGGTGGATTTTTTTTTAAATCTTCACTTGATATTTTTTCCATTGCTTTTTAGAGAGAGTGGGAGAGAGAGAGAGAAACATGGATGTGAGAGAGACACATCGATTGGTTGCCTCTGACCCTGGCAGGGATCGGATGGAGCCTGTAACCGAGGTATGTGCCCCTGGCTGGAATGGAACTCAGGACCCTTCAGTCCATTGACCTATACTCTAACCACTGAGCCAAACTGGTTAGGGCTAAGTGTAAGGATTTTAAACCTGTATGACTAGAATAGTGGTGACAAAAATAAGAAAGTTCAGAGGATTTTTGATGAAAAATTATTTGGTTTTAGATTATATAACAGAATGTCCCATGCCTGCCTACAAGACCCAGGACTAAGGTTTGATATATTGCTTTTTTCCCTTGGCTTCATTCTAAAATCTAAGGAGTTCTTAGGTAAATACATATCCATGTTTCAGATGGACTAGCCTAGGTGTCATAAGGCTTAAAACAACATAAGGTAAAGAGAAACAGTGTACAGTTGACTCTCGAACAACTTGGGGGTTAGGGGCACTGACCCCCCTATGCAGTTGAAAATTCGTGTATAACTTTTGATTTCCCAAAAAACTTAACTACTTTTGGCCCTTTGTATCTGCAGGTTTCGCATCCACAATTCAACTGCGGATTGAAAACAGTATTTTCAGTCCACAGTTAGGAATCAGTGGATGCAGAGGACAGACTGTACTAATTGTCTACCATTGACTGGAAGCCTTCCCAATAACAAAGAGTCACATTTTATATATCATACGTATTATATACTGTATTATTAAAGTAAACTAGAGGGGGAAATGTTAATAAAATTGTAAGGGTAATACCTTTACTGCATTTATTGAAAGAAAAAGCCACATACAAGTGGCTTATAAGTGGACCCACGCAGTTCAAACCCGTATTGTTTAAGGTCAGCTAGTTTAGTTAATATAAAAATGTGCAGTGTATTCAGGTAGAACTGGGTTCCCATCTTGCTTTTTTTGTTGTTGCTGTTCTTTTGCCTTGCAACTGTGACTTTTCTGGGTTTGTTTCTTCATCAGTAAAATGAGTATCATTTTGCCACTCAAAGATTTTGGGGGACAGGTTAGGTGTTACATGAGGCTACCTTTATAAAATGCCTAGCACATGATTAGTGATTGTGATGTATGTAAATTTGTAACGAATGTCTCATCTATCCCCCCCAGACTTGTGAAAATGAAAAATATTTTATTCTTTATATCATAAACATGTTTACGTAAAACTTGTTTTTTGAATATTTTGTTTTGAGGAAAGAATTTTAAAGGTAGAAACATATGTTTTACCTGAAATTAGGAAGTTACTTTCTTGTGTTTGAAAGAAAGATGGAAGCATTGGTAACCGTCTATTGCTAAGTTTTAGCATACAAGCCTGGAGCAGAGCATCAGTTCTTTGTGTCTCTCCTGGAGAATGTAGAATTGAATTTTCTGCAACCACAAACTGTTAAGTGGTTCCAACCACCTTCATGTTGATAGAAGGAAGAAAATTTTTATTTATTTATTTTTTAATCCTCACCCCAGGATATTTTTTCCATTGCTTTTCAGAGAGAAAAAGGGAGTGAAACATTGATACAGGAGTGACACATCGATTGGTTGCCTCCTGCATGAGCCCTGACCAGGGCTGGGGATTAAGCTGCAACCAAGGTACATGCCCTTGGCTGGAATCGAACCCGGGACCCTTCAGTCCACAGGCCGACACTCTAACCATTAAGGCAAACACATTAGGGCATGAGGAAGAAAATTTTGCTAGCGGAGGTCACTACAGGGAATCAGCAGTTGCTGAGGCAGGAAGAGGCCAACCACTGCTCCTGATAACTTTGTTACCTTTAAACCACCCTCCCTTCTCTACCCTCTCTTCTCCCAAATAGCTTACTCCCTTGTCAAGCCTTTTGAGGGAAAAAGAATGTAAATGTTTAAGTGTATGTATGTTAAATAATTTTTCTCCGTATTGCCTATCCTCTGTCATCCTGAAACAAAAGGTCTTATATTTATTCTTGAGTCAATACTCTGAATAAAACAGTTGATGAGGCCTGGCCAGTGTTGCTCAGTAACTGAGCATTGACCTATGAACCAGGAGGTCACGATTCAATTCCCGGTCAGGGCACATGCCCGGGTTTCAGGCTCAATCCCTAGTAGAGGGTGTGCAGGAGGCAGCTAATCAGTGACTTATCATTGATGTTTCTATCTCTCTCTCCCTCTCCCTTCCTCTCTCTCAAATCAATAAAAACATATTAAAAAGCAAACAAGCAGTTGATGAATAAATACTTGTTCCTTTCGGTATAGGATCTGTATATCCTAAACCAGGGCTTCAGGGCTTTCTTTCATCAAAGGACAGGGTAAAAGCACATTTCCATTTACAACTCCCTTAAGTCAAGTGTTACACTTTTCATCCACAATCCCTCAAAGACCTGCTTCAAAGCAAGCTGACTGGCAGAGCCCTATTCCCTGGGTGCACTCTGATTTCCTGTTGAGATACAAAACCTAAAATATAGTGTTACTACTATTGATATCTACAGGAACTAGTTTGAATAAAATATAATGCTTCTGTTCTGCTTTCTGTAAATATCTCTTCAAATTGGGGCTGGCATTCTCTCCCAATTCATTCCATATATCCTTTCATCGGGGACTTGGTTCTCAATGCTTTCACCATTTCCTTAGTCCTAAGTAGTTGCTGAAAGACTTGTGTGGCAGTTGATTTTTACCAGAAAGGCAGGATTTCATGAAAGGGGGCAGTGAGGCATAATAGTTAGGAATTTAGGCTCTAGTCTAGAGTCAGACCTGGGTTCAAATGTCGCTCTACCACCTTGGGCAAATTATTTAACCTCTCTAAGCCTTAGTTTCTTTAGCTGCAAAGTGGATAATAGTATTCGCCTTAAGGTTGGCTGTGAATATGAAATAAGATTATGATGTAAAATGCTTAACACATTGCCTGGAACATTTTAAACATCTAGTAAATCTTACCTATCATAAGGATCCAGGTAAAAGGAGTTGAGAAAGGGGGGAGGGATGCTAGAAGGAAATTCTTATTTTATCCTATGGTAGACCCTATTTAACTTTCAATATGAGTGAACCAATAAAAATTATGCTTGGAGGTATTGCAAGGGGATAGACTATATATTCCATCAGTCAAATTTGTGTAGTGATTACTAAGGCCAGGAAATGGAACAATGACTGAGGCATGATCCTTACTTTCTTTAAGAGTCTAAAGAGTCTAATTTCTCTTTAAGTAAAACTTCAGTGGCCACTGTTAACCTCATAAGGATGTGGTAAAAATAAATAGGTGAAATTCTGAAATAGTGTGGGTCTCATAGAATTAGAAAGAACCATAAGAAATCTGTCAGTCCTGTCTTCAGATGGGTGAAAATATGGAAGACTTTATAAGAAGTAAAAAGGATCACTATTCTGGTTCTATTTCAAATTGAAAAATGTCAGAGAAATACGGTATCTTATAAATATAATTTAAATAAAAATTGTGGTGTGATTGAAAGTATTTCTAGTTTATATGATTTTCTTTTTTTATGATTATTTTCTAATATAAAATACCATTGTTCAGAACTACTTAAATCCCAACAAAAATGAAGTATGCAAATAAATTATGGTACTTGTACCATGTCATGATTTAAAATCAAGTTTCAAAGACTAAATAATCACATGGGGAAATGCTTTATGATAAGTGAATAGAAGCAGGCCTAGATATACTATGGTTCTAACTTTTAAAAAAAATACAAAGTAGAAAAAGTATAGTATTCCAAAGCTCTAGTAATCAAAATGGTATGGTATTGCCCTAACTGGTTTGGCTCAGTGGCTAGAGTGTTGGCCTGTGGACTGAAGGGTCCCGGGTTTGATCCAGCCAAGGGCACATACCTCAATTGCAGGCTCGATCCCTGGCCCTAGTCAGGGCCAGTTTGGGAGGCAACCAATTGATGTGTCTCTTTCACATGGATGTTTGTTTTTCTTTCTCTCTCTCTCTCCCCACCTTGCACTCTCTCTGAAAAGCAATGGAAAAATATCCTCTGGTAAGGATTAAAAAAAATTTCTTTTAAGTGGTCTGGTATTGGCATAAAAACAGACACATAGATCAATGGAACAGAATAGAGTCCAGAAATAAACCCACACATCTATGGTCAATTAATTTACAACAAAGGAACCAAGAATATATGTAAAACTGGGGAAGGATAATGGTGTTGGAAACACTGCAAAAGAGGTAAACTGGACCACTATCTTACACCATGCACAAAAATCTGCTAGCAAAAGACTTAAATGTAAGATCTGAAACCATAAAACTCAGAATACAGGAGGTAAGCTCCTTGACATAGGTCTTGGCAAAGGCTTTTTTGATTCAACACCAAAAGCAAAGAGGCAAAAAAAAAAAAAAAAGTGAGACATCATACTAAAAAGCTTACAGCAAAGGAAACTCAACAAAGTGAAAAGGCAACCTATGGAATGGAGATCTGATAAGGAGTTAAAATGAAGAGTTATTCAAATATATAAAGAACTCATACAGCTCAACAGAAAAAAAAAAATTTAAAAATGGGCAGAGATGAACATTTTTCAAAAGAAAACATACAAATGGCCAACAGGTACATGAAAAGGTGTTCAACATCACTAATCAGGGAAATGCAAATCAAAACCACAATGAGGTATTTCACATCTGTTAGAATGGCTATTGTCAAAAAGACAAATAAGTGTTGGTGAGGATGTGGAGAAAAGAGAGCCCTTGTACGCTGTTGGTGGTAATGTAACTTGGTATAACCACTATGGAAAACAGTATGGAGGCTCCTCAAGAAACTAAAAATAGAACTACCATATGATCCAGCAATATCACTTCTGTGTATTTATCTGAAGGAAACAAAATCACTATCTTGAAAAGACATCTGCACCCCCATGTTTATTGTCACATTATTTACAATAGTCAAGACATGGAAATAACCAAAATGTGCATTGACAGATGAATGGATAAAGAAACTGTGCCACACGTATACAATGGAATATTATTCAGCCAAAAAAAAAAAAGAAATCCTGCCATTTTCAACAACATGGATGGGCCTTGAGGCAGGATGCTGAGTGAATTAAGTTAGAGAAAGAGAAATACTTTCATTTATATGTGGAATCTAAAAAACAAACAAAAACCTAAATTGAACTCACAGATACAGAGTACATATTGGTGGTTTCTAGAGGTGAGGGTTACGGGGGTAGGCAACATGGATGAAGGTGGTCAAAAGGTACAACTTCCAGTTACAAGACAAATTAGTCCTGGGAATGTAATGTACAGCATGATGACTACAGTTAACAATACTGTATTGTATATTTGGAAGTTGCTAACAGAATAGATCAAAGTTCTCATCACAAGAAAAGAATTGTAACTCTGTGGTGATGAATGTTAACTTATTGTGGTAATCATTTTGCAATATATACACATCAAATCATGTTGTACACCTAAAACTAATACAATGTTGTATCTCAATTATATCTCGATTTTAAAAAGTGTATAGAAAAAAAGAAGGGGTAAGACAAAGAACTTCTGTGTTTTTCAACCTTATAGCATAGTGCTATTAGACTTTTTTTAAAAAAGCATAAAAGAAAACCAATAGCTAATCAAACTAGGTGACGAGATTATAAGTAAATTTATTTCCTTCTTAAAACTTCTTTTGAATAAACATTTCAAATGCTTTTAAAATACTTAATACTTAAAATACTTGAGACCCATGGTGATTAAGTTTCACTTTAACATAAATCACATTAAAAATCTTTGAGTTCAGGTGAGCTACCAGAAAAAAAAAAAAAGTAACACAAGACAAAGTAACTGAAAAGGGGAAAACTTTCAATATTAATTTAACTCATACTGTTATTATGTATCCCTGCCTGTAGGTCAATAACTTGGATTTAATAACTTGCATAAATCTAATTCTGACATATCACTAATTCATACCTTGAGGATAACTATAAGCTTGAGAAGGATCAACTATTGTGCCCATTGAGAATGAGTTGTGTGATTCCTGAGAATGTTTTTCTATCACCTCTACTGTATCACTGGATAAAGATGATGATGAAGACAATCCCAGTCTAACATATCTTCCTTTTTTACCACAGAGTGAGCAATCTACCGGTGTGGCACTAGGTCCCCTGGGCAGTTGAACTTCATCTCTGTTGTAGTTTCTAACAGCTCCACTGTGATGCACAGAACGTTCTCGTTGCCATATGTAATGGGTTGGAGCAATGGCCATAACCTATAGTGGAAAGCTTTCTTTTAGAATTTTAATAAGTTTTTAAAATTTTGTAAAACTAAGTACAAAAAATATAACTTAAGAACAGCTATCTCTAAAACTAGATTTAAAAATCTAAGTTACCAATGTAGGGGGGAAAAAAGTTATCTCCAGATACAGCAATATTTACCTATAAAGTGATTCATTGCTTGGATCCTTGACAATAATTGATGGTATTTAAATTATTTCAAATAAGAAATAAACTTTCCAGGTTTTTCAATCCTGAGTATTTTAAGTTTGTGAAAGACAATACAGTTATCCCCAATTAACTTTGGAATGTACTGGGCTGAAAAGAGTATGTTTAATTGAGGTTTCCAACTATGTATGTTAGGCTAATCTTAAAATATCTGCAATTATGGTAAGGGATATGGTAAGAACAGTTTCTCATTATGTTCCTCAGTTTCCTCATCTGTAACATGAAGAGAATGTGTCTATTATAAGGGGTTGTGAGCATTACATGAATTCTTTATAAAGCACTTAAGATTCCTCACTATGTACGTATCAGTCATTGTTGTCTAAGGTTTGTTAGATAAAACACTGCCTTTAGAGTCAGGATAGACTTAGTTTCTTATCCTAGCTCTGCCACTAGCTAGCTGTATGATACTGGGCAAGTTACTTAACCTTTCTGAGGCTCAATTTCTTTATATCTATAATGGGGATACTATTTGCCTCAGGATTGTTCTGAGGGTTAGATATGTGTAAAATCTGTATCACATTATAAGCAACTGGCAAATGGTAGCTATTTAAGAAGTCAAGCTAGGGAAGTGTACCTATACGCTGGCCTCATGATATCCAAAACTCTTAAGCAGAATGTTAGGATGTTACTTATAAGCAAAAATGTTTAGTTGGAGTTATCAGTGACCCAAAGTAAATGAAAATTGTAAAATTTAAGAGTTAGTGCCCTATTGTCTAGACCAGTGCTTTTCAAACTGTTCTGAGGAGCCCTGAGGTTTCACAGACTATATTGGGGGGTCCTAGGAGGGGCTAAGGGAAATAGGCAGAGAAGCTCAGTTTGGGGGGTTGTATGTAAAATATTTGGAAAGAAAAAGGCTTTTGCTGTTAATACCTTAAAACCCCCAAATCAAGACCAGTTCCCTCTGAAAATGGGATTACTGTAGCCTTCCCCAAGATAATGGCATAAAGAATGTTAGTTATGATCATTTTTATAAAGTATATTTTAGATTGACTTCTTAAATTCTTCAAAATAGTTTTCAACCAAGACATGCAATAAAGTTACACATATTTAAAAAGGCAGTAGTAAATAAAGGTGTTAACTCTATAAATATATCTACAATATAAAATTAGATTCAGAGCTACCTAAGTGAGAAAGTAGAATTTCTTATCAGAATTTTTTATTCCTTCTATATTTATTTTTCAACACTTCAATATCTTTATTTCCCATGTCTGGAATGTCTTCTCCCTTTGTCTTAATATTACCTTTCCCTCAATGCCCAGCATAAGTCCCACCTTTCTAAAAACTCCAGCTTTCATATTTTCTTATTAATGCTATATTAGGACTTTTAGCATATAAGTGTCTAGTACTCAGATATATCTTTTTATAAATATAACCTATTCTCCTGAAAGCCTCCTCTGTGCAGGAATAGTCTCTCTCATATACCTCTCTGTCAAATGCCCTCCACATAATATTATGTAGTCATTAAATATTTCTAATGATAAAAGTTAAGGACTAGAGGCCACTGACATTATGAACCTTCAATAACATGATTTTCATAGGAATCTTATAGCGAAGTCTAGTGAGAAGAGCAGAGGGAAATATAAAGGATACAAAATAGGTTTGGTAAACTGTCCTTTCTGCAATAAGCTAGGCATAGTAGTCTCTCCACATGCTAACCCAGCTAGGAAAAAAATGTATGCACACACACTTGTTTACTTTTAAATATATAGGGTGTCCCCCAAAAAATGTATATACACACTTTGAATAATTATAAAAGCAGTACTTATTAAAATACATTTCATTTTCAAAATTGAGTTATCAGCACCCTGGCCGGTTCGGCTCTGGTTGGAGCATCGGCCCACAGACTGAAGGGTCTCAGATTTGATTCCGGCCAAGGGCACATACCTAGGTTGCAGGCTCAATACCCAGCCCTAATGGTCAGGGCACATGCTGGAGGCAACCAACCAGTGTGTCTCTCTCACACTGATGTTTCTTTCTCTCCCCCCTTCCACACTCTGTAAAAAGCAATGGAAAAAATATCCTCTGGTGAAAGTTAAAAAATAAATAAAAATTGAGCTATCAGCTGTTAAAGTGTGTATACATTTTTGGGGGACACCCTGAATATTATGCTATAATATAAACATATTTTATACACAGAGTGGTATTGTGATAACAACAGAAAACTGTACCAGGGTTAAGACAGCAGGATTTTGGTCTTAATTCTATTAGCTCTATGACCTTAGGCAAATTAATTAACTTTCTGGGTAATAAGGGGTCTTGTATATATTAGAAACAGGTCACTTACAGTCATCAAATTCTATGATTCTATGAAAGTGACATCATTGAAGCATTGGTGTTTGACCTACTAGAAAGGTTATCCTAGATTTTACTTTATCTTACTCTTCTGTCATTTTTAGTGATTTTATTTTTTTGGTGTCATTTGTGGGTGTTTCTAAAATACAATACTTGGCCTTCTGGTGTGTTTTTTGTTCATTTGTTTATATATATATGTACTTCTCTGTAACCTCAAGAGGTAGTATATTGTCTTATTAGCACTGACTCTGGAGTCAGACTGACTAGGTTTGAATACTGGTATGCTGCTTTACTGATTGTGTGACCTTGGAGAAGTCATTGAGCCTCTGTATGCTTCAGTTTTCTCACCTGGGATTACCTAGCTCGCTATAGAATTGTAAGTTAATACATGTGTGGTACTTAGAACAGTGCTTGTGGCAAGTGCTCAAAAATATTAATATTACTGTCACCTTGGATCTCTTCTCTACCACACTAAACATCACTGTATGTGATGACTCATTTTACTCGTACCTTTTGACAATTCACTGAACTATCCAATTATCACCTTAAATTCATGCCCAATACCAAATTCCTTATCTTCCCAATAAATGAGTTTGCATAATAGAAGCCATCACTTTTTGTTATGTAGGTTTGAAACTCTGTCAGCTCACTCTCCCATATGCCCTATATCCAACAGGTCACCAAATAATAACTTTGTAACAGTGTGTTTTTGGCATTAAATTTACACCTTGCTTGCTGATTTAGGGCAAGTGTAGCAGTCTCCGGCACCTTCCCTATATTGGGTCTCTTCTGTATACTGTCATTGGATTATTTTGCTCATAACATTGCTTATATCACATCATTGTTTTCTAAATTCTTAATCTGGAATCAAGTCATAGCTGACAGAGAAATCAGCTTTAATCACCTCATCTCTTTCCAAGAAAGGATTTGAGACAGTTGAAAAAAAGAGCAAATGAAATTTTTTTTCATTAAACTAGGACCCCAAAGGGAAAATATACCTGAAGTGGGAAAGCAGACCAGTAATAAAGGGTAAGAGTTAATGTGGTTAAGGATAAACGTTGGCTCTTAGCTTCTCTGCACAGCCAGGGTTTAAACAATAGGAGGCAAATTACAAAATTCACATTATCTCAAAGGAGAGAATAAGTTCTTTTGACAGTGGCATATAAAGGAAATAATACCGAATTTAAACACTAGCTGGCCCTGCCACTTATTAACTGAATGACCATGGACAAGTCACCTTTCTATGCCAGTTTCTTCATATATAAAATGGCGAATACTTATGCTACTTAATCCCTGAGATAAAATAACAGAAGTAAATGCATTTTCTAAACTAATCAATGAGAGATGGAGGCTAGATGTCAGAGAAAACAGAACACTATGAAGTCGTTAGTCATGAGGTCAAGTTTTGACTGAATGCAAGGTCTTGAGTAAATCTCAGCCTTGTTGGTGCTGTTTCATCAGCCTTAAAATGAGAATGCTACAACCCTCACAGGCATCTTTGTAAGGATGTATGAAAACATTTATGAATTCATAAAGTACAATGCAAATGTAGAGTATTACTATTGTAGCTACTATCACAATGGGTTTATCTTACAATATGAAACTAAAGAAGTAGCTTGGAAGTATATCAGTACCAGGCTCTCAATAACAAATGCATAGAGTACTTAACTAAATTTCTAAGCATGTCTTGCTACTTTAAAGCAGCAACTTCAGGGAAAGGATGATGTAATACTTCTTTATAATAAGTATTATATAATACTGAAGTAGGTGTCTTACTCATAAACTAGTTGTTGAATGAATACTTAGGAGAACAAGACAAAATCTTACTAGGTAGCTAGCTACCTTTCCTCTACACCAACATGATCCAAGTATACCTGGTTGGAAGAGGAAAAAAAAAAATAAGCTTATCTGCCACTAAAGTAAGTGCTAAGTGAGCTCAGTGAAAAATTGTTTTAAAGTGGTTTTTTTTTTCTGTTTCATGGATAAGCAGGTATGAAAGAACTGGAAGCCTTAAGTTTCAATCATTCTGACAGCAATATTTGCTGAGTATCTACTATATGCCAGGCACTGTTTTAGGCATTGGAGATACAATAAGAACAAAGTAAAAACCTTGCCCTCTTGGAATTTATATTTGAGTACAGGGAAATAGACATTAGCAAGATAAATAAAACACAGTATGTTATATGATGGTTAAGTGCTATGAAGAAAAACAGGAAAAAGGATACTGATTAATAGTGGGAGGTACTACTTGCTATTTTAACAGCTTTATTGAGATAACTCAAGTACCATACAATTGACCCATTTAAAGTGTACAATTTAATGGCTTATTGTATATTCACAGTTGTACAATCATTACCATAGACAATTTAAGAACATTTTCATCATGCCATAAAGAAAGCAGTCACATCCCATTCCTCCCTCCCCTCACCCCCTGGCAACCACTAATCTATTTTCAATTTTTTTTTTAAATTTAAAAAATATGTATCTTTATTGATTTCAGAGAGAAGGAGAGGGTGAGAGTTGAAACATTAATGATGAGAGTCATTGATCGGCTGCCTCCTGCACACCCCCGACTGGAGATCAAGCCCGCAACCCGGGCATATGCCCTGACTGGGAATCGAACCACAATTTCCTGGATCCTAGGTTGATGCTCAATCACTGAGCCATGCCCGGCCAGGCTCAGTCTCTTTTGTTTATTCCGGACATTTATATAAATAGAATCATACAATGTGTGGTCCTTTGTACTGGGTTCTTTCACTTAGCATAACATTTTCATGTTTCATCCATGTTACAGCATTAGTACTTCATCCCTTTTAATTGCCAAGCAATATATCATTGTATGGACATACCATATTTTGTTTATTCATTAGTTGTTGGACATTTCTATTATAAATAATGCTGCTGTCATCATTCATATACAAGTTTTTGTGGACACGGTTCTCATTTCTTAGCTATATAACTAGGAGTAGAATTGCTGGGTCATACGGAACTCTATGCTTAGCTTTTTGAGGAAGTGCCAGACTGTTTTCCAAAGCAACGACACCATTTTACATTCCCAGCAGAAGTGTATGAGGGTTTGAATTTCTCCACATTCTTACCAACACTTGTAATCATCTGTCTTTTTATGACAGCCATCCAGATAGGTATGAAGTGATATCTTCTTGTGGTTTTGATATTGCATTTCTCTGATGGCTAATGATGTTGAGCACCTGTTCATGTGTTTTGCCCATTGTATATCTTCTTTGGAGAATTGTCTATTCAGGTCCTTTGCACATTTAAAAATTGGGTTTCCTTTTTATTATTGAGTTGTAAAAGCTCTTTATATATTCTAGATCCAAATCTCTTATCAGACAGATGATTTGCAAATTTTTTCTCCCATTTTGTGGGTTGTCTTCACTTTCTTGATGGTGTCCTTTGAAGGACAAGTTTCAAACTTTGATGTCCACTTTGTCTTGTATTTTCTTTTGTTGCTTGTGCTTTTGGTGTTGTATCTAAGAAACTGAATCCAAAGTCATAAAGAGTTACCCCTGTGTTTTAAGAGTTTTATAGTTTTTAGTTCTTATAGTTAGGTCTCTGATCCATTTGGAGTTAGTATTTTTATATGAAATAAAGTAGGGGTCCAACTGCATTCTTTTGCATGTGGATATCTAGTAGTCCCAGCACCATTTGTTAAAAAGACTATTCTTTCCCTACTGAATTTTCTTGGTACCCTTGTCAAAATTTAATTGAACATAAATGTGAGGGTCTATTTCTGGACTTTTCTATTTATCCCATTGAGCAAGATACTACTCAATATAGGGTGGTAAGGAAAGGTTTCTCTGAGATGACATTTAAGCAGAGTCCTGAATGAAGTGAGGAAATGAAACATACTAATGGGGGAAAACCATTCCAGGGAATGGGAATGGCAAATACAAAGACCTTGAAGTGGGAGTGTGCTTGGTGTGTTTGAGGAACAGCAAGGAGGCCACTGTGCCTTGAGTGGAGTGAGCAAGGGTGGGAGATGAAGTCAAAGAGATAGGAGAGTTGGCAGACTGTGTAGAGCCACGATAAGGGCTTTGCCTTTTACTCTGTGTGAGATGGGAGGCCTCAAGGCTTTTTAAAAATTTTTAAAAAATATATCTTTATTGATTTTAGAGGAAAGGAGAGGGAGAGAGAGAGAGAGAGAAACATCAATGATGAGAGTTATTGATCGGCTGCCTCCTGCTGCACGCTCCCTGCTGGGCATTGAGCCCACAACCCAGGCATGTGTCCAGGGAATCCAACCAGCAACCCCTGGTACACAGGACGACACCCAACTGAGCCACACCAGCCAGGGCCCTTGAGGTTTTTGAGTAGAGGAGTCATGATTTGACTTACCTCCTAAAAGATTTACTCTGGCTGCTGTATGAAGAATAGACTATAGGGAAGAAAGATTATAAGAGAGACTATTTGAAATGCTATGGCAATAATTGAGGCAAGAGATAACAATCAAAGTAGGTTTTAGTGGTGGAGGTGGTGAGAAGTGGCAGGAAAATGAATAATTTTTTAAGATATGGATGTGAGAAAAAGAAAAGTCTAGGGTGACAGTTTCTTGGCCTGAACAACTAGAAGGATGAAGTTACCATTTATTAGCATGTGGAAGATTGCAGGAGGAACAGGTTTAGAAGTCTATGTGGGAAAATAAAAATTCAATTTTTGCCATGTTAAGTCTGAGGTATCTACTATAGTGATAATGAAGTATGAATAGGACATTTGATTTGCAGAACTGAAATTAGTGGAGATCTGTTAGTTCTCCCTTTTGAATCCTTGAGAGACTAAACTTTTCTGTAAACTTTTCTTTTTCATTACACAACTGAGTTTACAGCTGTCTGAAACTTTTTAGTCTTTTACACATACATCATTAAGTCACTCCATTCTCTCTGGTTCTTTAATGGTCTGGTGCCAGCAACTGTGGTAAATCCAGCTCCAATAGTGTAAAGTTGTTGTAATTTAAAAAATACTAGTTGTATCTTAGGAGTAGATGGGCAGTCTGCCATAAGGTGAGTATTGCCTGTCCTGGACTTTTGCTTCCAGTGTCCCTTCCATGCTCTTAGTTGAGTGTTCCATGGGACTTGAAGTGTTTACTTCGGAAAATCAGAGTGTTCAAATAAGGCTTTGCTTGGACTATCATGTCCAAGGATGGCAACAGGTGCACAAATTACTCCGCTTGACATGGGGAGGTAGTGACCAAAAAAATAACAATACAGGACTCTTTCAATGCCCTGTAACTGGAATGAGTAATTTAAATCTTTTAATTAATCAGGATCCATTAAATTATGGTGGCCTTATACACCCAATTTTTCATATTTTTCTACTGAATTTAATCTTGTAAAGACTTGGTCTGCTGTACAGTTTTCTAAGTTATCTCTGAATCCTTGAATTTAAAATTTTTATTTTTAAATTTGTTTTTATTGATTTCAGAGAGAGGAAGGAAGAGGGAGAAATAGAAACATCAATGATGAGAGAATCGATTGGCTGCCTCCTGCTTGCCCCCTACTGGGGATCGAGCCCACAACCCAGGCATGTGCCCTGACCAGAATTGTCACCTCTAGGTTCATGGGTCAACACTCAACCACTGGGCCACACCCGGTGGGCAATCCTTGCATCTTCCCTAACACTGAACAATCCTATTTTAATCTACAAAAATGCATACTTGCTATATCTTTATAGCATTAATAAATATAATTAACATGGTTAGTTCTGGGTAGAGTTCTGTGACACACCCCTAAGTTCTCCCTTAGGTTTGACACTAATCCACTGTCTCTTTTGGCCTACAGTCCATTTAACTGGATATGACTTCATTTAATTATACCATTATCTAGCTCACATTTACCAAAGTTTTCTGAACTAGTACTGGCTTACAGTGACCACTGATTTCATTTAATTTTCTACTCTAGAATTTTTTAGTTTAAATCATTAGTTTTGTTCCTTATTGAAAACTAGGACATTAGATAAATAACCAATCTTTTAATTTTTAGTGTCTTTCTGCTTTATCTTAATAAAATCTGGCATCAAGGAACCTTTATGTATTCCATGTGAAAAAAGGTATGGTTTTTAAACATATTTAAATTTATATAAATTTTATATCATGCAATTCACATTTCAATCTTGGGACTTGAAATTTCATATATTTTATTTAATGAAAAGTATTATTCAACTCTAATGATATTACCATAAGGTACTTTGAAATATGCACACATCCTTTTCCAATATATTTGTGATCATTTAGACAAGAGAAACACTAAAAAAAAATACTGCAGAATTAGGTTGCTCTGAAAAACAGAAATGACAATTTTAAATTCTTGTGGTATAAATTAAAAGATCGGCATTGCAATACACAAGTTGTATTCATGGTAATCATCAAAGCTAAGGGTCTACTCTTATATATACAAAAAATAAAATGTTAGAAGCACATTAAAAAACAAGACAAGGAAAATTATATGAACAGAAGACAGGGATTACATATATAAAGTATTTTAAAATCTTACCTCCTCACAGCATCGCCTGCTTACAATAGCCCTATAGTCAATTCTATCCCACAGTTGGTCCCTTAACTTTAAGAAATTGGGGAACAATTTTCTCCAGTTTTTCCCTAAAGCCCATGGAAAAATTTCATATTTGGATTCTTCTTCGTCTTCTTCAACTGTATTAGCCAGATACCTAACAAAGAAGACCAACAACTCAAAAAAAGAAATAGATAAAGAATAGGAATGGGCAGTTCACAAAAAAATACAAGTCACTATAAATACACAAAGGATGTTGAACCTTACTATAATTAAAGAACAGATAAAAAATGGAGCTAGAGATACAGTGAATTTTACCTTGATGAGCTCTGAATATTTGTATATTCCTATAAATCCTGAGCTTTGTTCTAGGATGCAGTTACTTGGAAACAGTGTGATCCTTTCAGGTCTTGCTATTTTATGGTTTGTTAGGTGGACCTGGAGCAATGTTCAGTCTGGGGCTAATGATTCTCTACTAGTAAGGCAAGACCTTCTGAATACTCCATTCAATAACCTACGAATTACGAGTTTTTTCAGTTTGGCTGGTGAGAACAGACACTATTTCCAGCCATGGATGAATTTTAGGAATTGCTCCCCTCTAATCCTTTTTATGGCCTTTTGCCACAATAAGGTAGTTTCCTTATACACAAATGGAAATCAGTATCCTGCCAAATGCTTGAGAGGAATCAGGCATACACAGAAGCAGGAGAACACAACCCATAATAAGAATAATCAATCAATCAAAACTGACACACATGGTAGAAATAACAGACAAGAACATTAAAACAGTTATAACTATTCCAGATGTTCAAAAAGTTAAGACACACTTCTAGAGATGAAAAAACTATGTGTACAATGAAAAATACACTGAGTGGAATTAACAGCAGATTAAATATTGCAGCAGACAAGATTTGTGCATTGAAGACATAACACTATAAACTATCTAAACTAAACACACAGAGAAAAATAATAAACAAAGCATCAATGAGTAATAGACAACTTCAAGCAGTTTAATAAATGTGGAATTGAAGTCCCTAAAAGGTAGCAGGTGAACAGAAAAAAATATTTGAAGAAATAAATGGCTAAAAATTTTTAAAATTTGATGAAACCAACAAAGAAGCTCCTTGAAGCCCAAAGTACCAAGGCACATCATAATCAAGTTGTTCAAAACCAATGATAAAGAGAAATTTTTAAAAGCAGTCAGAAAAAAAAGGTAAGTTGAATAACACAGGAAAAGAGAGGAGAGTGGAGCAGATTTCCCATTGGAAACAATGCAAGCCCCACAAGGACTTTCCAAGACAAATGGACAACTTACAATAAGAAAATTACAAAACACTTAAGGCACCATGAACAGAAACAGACCCTGAAGTCAGAAGATACTGGAATTAATAGACAAACATCAAGAGGAAAAAAAGAGGCATTAAAAACAGTCAGAAAAGAAGGCAAATGATCCTAAGTGGAAGTTTGAGATGCAGGAAAGAACAGGAAGCAAGGATATAAATATGTGGGTAAATATAAACAAATGTTGAATGTATAAAAAATTAATACTTTTTGGACATCAGACAGAACTGCAGAATTGTAAAATAAGAGATTATGAATTAGGGAAGGCGATGATTGGAGTTAAAATGCTCAAGGTTGTGTAATTAAAAATAACTTAGGCCCAGCCAGCATGGCTCAGTGGTTGAACATCGACCTAGGATCCAGGAGATCATGGTTTGATTCCCAGTCAGGACACATGCCCAGGGTTTCGGGCTCATCCCCAGCAGGGGGAATGCAGGAGGCAGCAAATCAATGGCTCTCTCTCATCACTGATGTTTCTCTCTCCCTCTCCCTTGCTCTCTCTGAAATCAATAAAATATATAAAAAAATAGAACTTAGGTAATTGCTAAAAGGATATAGACTACATAATTTCTAAACAAGTAGAGGCAAAAAAGGTGTCAAGAAATAAAAATTTAAAAATCTCAACAGAAAAAAAATAAAAATGGAGGGGAAAGAAGAAATGGAAAAAGTGGAACATATAGAAAGTACATAACAAGATGGTAGAAAAATATCCAAATATATAAGCAACAATAGAATATTATTCTGCAATGAAAATGAACTATAGCTATGCATACCATGTGCTATTCTGTACATATTTCACATTAAAAAAATTGTAAAGGTACAGAAGTATAGAGTACACTTCATGTAACATACATATTGGTTCATGTATACAGAATTATTTTTAGAATGTATACATATGAAACAGTTAATTGTCCTTGAGCAGGGAGGCCAAGGTATTGAAATAGGAGGAAGACTTATTTTAATTGTATACCCCCTTATGTACTTTTAAAAACCATGTGCATATTCATATTTTGTTACAATGTAAAATGACTACATATTATTTATCCTTCCTTAAAATAATTGTATTTTAATATTACCTTATTTTTTTAATTTTTTTTTTAATTGATTTCAGAGAGGGAGAGAGAGAGAGAAACATCAATGATGAGTCATTGATCGGCTGCCACCTGCATGCCCCCTACTGGGGATTGAGCCTGCAACCCCAGGCATGTGCCCTAATAGTTCTTAGTAAAGGGTACATAGAGTAGGAGATTGGTCCCTTTCATGCTTGCTGACTAAGTGAAACATGGAAAATCTAAAATGTACTATGGTATCCAGACATCATTATTTTACTCTAGATTCACAATTTTTCAGGCTCAATGTGATAAAGTATCTGCATTATATACATATAAGTCCTCCCTTTTTTTAATATATGTATTGATTTCAGAGAGAGGAAGGGAGAGGGAGAGAGAAAGATAAAAACATCAACGATGAGAGAGTTATTGATCTACTGCCTCCTGCACGCCCCCTACTGGGGACTGAGCCCAAAACCCGGGCATGTGCCCTGACCAGGAATTGAACCTCAATCTCCAAGATCATAGGTTGATGCTCAATCACCGAGCCATGCCAGCCGGGCTCCCTTCTAATTTGAAACAGTTAAGATTTTCTTGGAGCAGAGTCCATATTTTGCATAATAATTAAGTTTATTCAAATAAAGAATTAAGAACCTCTTATATGTTAGCCACTGAAGGATGCAAAAACAGGTAAGATACATGCTCCTTACACTTAAAGAGCCTACACTCAAGTAAAGGAGGTAACTGAGTATGAAACAAATAACTGTAAAACAGATATGGAAGAATGATAAAGTTCAGTGTTATAAGAATATATAGAAAGGAAAAGAACTTGAATTAGATCTATGGCTAAGTGAGAAACTAGAGAAGGACTACTGAGTCAGGCTATACGAAGCATGATTATATATAAAATGGAAATTATAATTCATGTTATTTTTAATATGAAGCTTATAATACAACATGCAATGTAACCTTACAAACTACTACATAGTAGTAAGTTGTAGTAAGTAACAATTGACACAGTGCTTTACTGGTAATAACTTTACCAAAAAAGTCAAACAAATCCAATTTCGGGTATCAAGTATGATTTACACTAAAGCTTCTTTTGGTTTGTTGTTAATTTTCAGGTGATAAAAAACCAGCAGAATAAATATTGCATCACCATACAAATATATTATACAATACTAAGAGACATGTTAACAGCATTATAGCTGGTTGTCAATGGCTGAATTTTGCCATTGGCCAGTCACACCTAAATTTGTGCCCCAGCTCTGATGCTTACTAACTTGTGATCTTGAAAAATACTTAATCTAAGCCTTAATTTCTCTATCTGTAAAATGGGGAAAATTAAAAAATGTATCTCATAGGAAAGATTAAATGAGTTTATAATAATTATTTTGTGGTGCCTTGCACTTAATACTCAGTATTAGCTAATACTATTATATTCCCCCAATTTAGCAACTGTCACCAAATTTTATATTAAATTCATTTTTCCCTATGTATGGGGAACTATGTCTCCTGAATGCATGCAGAGATCAATTTCTTTGACTCTGAATTAAGCATACTTTGAGTAAAAACTTATCCTATAGTGCTAACAGTTGTTTTGGTATTCAGCTTAAATATTTTTATATGTAGTTCCCTAGTTAAGTACTTAAAATTATATTCATACATTTCCTACTGCAGTACTATATCCAGGTACTGGGTATAAAAGGTTTTGAGACTGAGATACATATTCTTAGTTTATATAGATTCTAGCAGAATTTTGACCTATGGATTGGAAAGCCATGTCATTAAAACCATTTACCAAATCACAAAGCTAGTATAAACTGTCTAATATAAAGTCAGTGGAAGAATGGAAAATAATATGCCTTGGTCAAAATACAGTGTGTTAAGTAAAACCATAATTGGATACTATAGGTATCAAATAAAAATAATGCCTATTTTATAGACAGAAATCCACAATGAGTATGTCCAGAGCATTTCCCGCAAGTTGTTCAATGTAAAAGAGCAATGATGATAATGATTTTTACTATAGATTAACTGGAAATTTCAAAGAAAATATTCTGGCTTAAAAAACTTAAGTGAAAAAGAGGACAATTTGTGACAATTTATATGAAACACTGAAAAATGTAAAAGTTACAACCAAGTTCAAGTGGAATAATAAATCTTAGGCATAAAGCAGGATAAGATCAGTGAAAAGAACATAAAATATCCTATTAAAGTAAAAAATGTATAACTTTTATATAGGAAGGTCTAGTCAAAGATATATATCAGGCTTTACACAGCCTCTGTTTGAAATAAAGTATCATATATGTTATAAGTAACTACCATAAAAATCACAGTAGAAAGCATACTTACAGAGCAATAAAGAAATTTATCCTGGTATGCTCATTTATAGTAAATTTAGCCCTCTTGAAATAAACAAAGGTCATAGCCAAAAGATACTATAGGAAAAAAAGTTAAAAGTTAATATTAATGTTTTGTTTTCATAAATAAAACTGCTTTAAAATAGTTTTCTTTAAGATGAATAATAAGCTAAAACAATAAAGCATTATTATCCTTACTACAGAATTACCTTTTTGAGTCCTTATTTTTTGGCTTCCTGTAATTCATGTGAACAGTGAGAAATAATTCTGACCATTTATCATGATTAAGATTATAACTAGAATGAACTCCTATATTTTATTGCCAATATTTTTGAACCCAAACCCCATTTTTTTCTATCTTAAATTTCAAACCTATAGAGAAGTTAAAATAATCATAAAATGAATAAACGTATTCACCTAGATTTACCAGTTGCTAACTGTTGCCACATTGGCTTGATGTGTATATACACATTTTTTCCCCCCTGAATCCTTTTAGTTACAGACATCCATATTCACTTTTTAACATAATCTTTTTAAAAAACTCCTAATAAAAAATGAGAATAACATGGCTTTATTTTCATTGAAAAAAAAGTGTTTTAAATTTATTACTAAAAAGACAGGCGTGGCTCAGCAGTTGAGCATCGACCTAGGATCCAGGAGATCAAGGTTCGATTCCCAGTCAGGGCACATGCCTGGGTTGTGGGCTCGATCCCCAGTTGGGGGCGTGCAGAAGGCAGCTGATCAATGACTCTCTCATCATTGATGTTTCTGTCTCTCTCTCTCCCTCTCTCTGAAATCAATAAAGATATATTTAAAAAAAAAAGAAAAAAAGACACATGTCTAGCCTGATATTAAGACACTATGCCAGATTCTGGCTGTTTAACTTAAAAACAAGTTATAATATTGAGGTATTAGATTCCCTCTCATAAAATGCCTGTTTATCCTACCTTCATAGGATTGGCAATAAAGGAGATTCCAAGTTTTCAATGTAATAGTGTTAAAATACAATGCTCCTGGTTAGTTACTTTAAAAGCACTGCCCCCTGCTGTCCAACAACTTTAATTACTCTAATGCACTTAATATTGTCAAGTTTAAAACTACCCCACAAAAATTGGATATTTGATATTAAGGCAAGTACTGTTAATTTTTAAAAGTGTTAGTGACATTGTGATTATGTTTAAAAAGATATCATCTTCTAGAGATACATCTTGAAACATTTATGGATAAAATATTAGGATGTCTGCTTTTGGGGAGAAGGATTAGAAAAAACAAGAATGGCCCACAGTTGGTGGACAGGCACATGGAAGGTCTTTGTTTTAATCTCTACCCTAAGTTGCGTATGGCTGAAATTTTCCAAAACTAAAAAACAAAACTTCTCTAATTTTCTCTCTGTTATCTTAAACCTGATATTTTAAAAAGTTCACACCAATATTAACTTAGTGGGCATTTAATCATAAGCTAGTCTTCCATTCATTCCCTTGTCAGTTGGCACATTAAGTGTGATGTGAAATCATGCTGAATTTTCTGATATGATTACCTAGTCTAAGATGGCATTTACATTTAAGAAGCTAAAATCTTAACTGTTCAGCTAAATCAAAAGACTATAGAAACAGCACAGTCTGGTCCCTAGTATGCAAGTTAGCAGGATTTTTTTTTTTTTAATGAAACATTGATTCATAAACAAAGAACATGATAAGCTAATTTTACTCTCCAAGATTATTGGGATTTGTTTTATCCAAATAACCAACAAAATATTAAAATATATAATAGACTGCTGTAAGTGGAATGAATCTCAGAATATTCTTTCTCCACAGCCTGAAAAAAGGTAATAATCCTGATCAAAACATATTAAGTCTATACTGGTTCTTATTTTCAAACAAACAGATATAATTCTTAAGGTCTTTTAAATCTAATCAATAATATCCTACAATTCCTCAAAATATAGAATGAATCTATAGTATATGTTAATTAAAAAAAATTAATGTGTAAGGATTCCAGTTTGAAGGAGCAATGCAGGATAGTTCTTTTCCTAAACTTAATCAATAAAAAGAAAATTCTTACAAGGTTTCATTAAAGTTCTGATGGTCCAGTAATATAGTAACATTGGTTAATGATTATACTGTTACTAAATTTACCTTGTCTGCAATTTTACAGCAGCAATCCATCCACAAGAAATCTTGAATTAAATCGTCATCTACAACAAAAGATAGCTATGACTTGTCTTTTAAAGAGAAAATATTTCCTTTTGAAGAATTTCTATATAAGGAGATTATAAATGACCCTTAGAAATCAAACAAAAATGGCTGGATCAGTGTTGTCTGAGGTGTAGTTTCAGTCCCCTTGGCTTATTTACCATTGCAGGCACTATACAAAAAGATACTGCTTTCTCCTCCGATTTACCATCTGATTTGCCTTAATATATAGCTCAGACTGGAGCAGGAATGGTAGAAGTTTTGATTTATTGAATATCCCAAAAGCTCTTTCAGAAATATGTATTGGGTAACTCTAGATTAGCTCTTTGTTATTTTCCAAAATCAATCTTTAACAGGTGGAAATGGAATCTGATACAGAATCAGGTGTGGCTCAGTTGGTTGAATGTCATCCCACGCACCAAGGGATTGCCAGGTCAATCTGGTCAGGGCACGTGCCTTGGTTTCGGGCTCAATCTCCAGCAGGGGGTGTGCAGGAGACAACCGATTGATGTTTCTCTCTCACACTGATGTTTCTCTCTCTCTCTCTCCCCCTCCTTCTCTAAGATTGGAAAAAAAAAAAAATTTTAAATTTTCTTCTGTCCTCTAAGCCAGGCAAGAATTTTTGTTCCCAACTCTCTCCTCTTACACAGATCTGCATTTCTCTATAAACAAGGAAGTTTGTTATCTGACTCTACAGACTGTGGTATCTACTTGACTTCATTCTTACAGATATTTACCAGAATCTGTTTATCCTACCCTTTATTCTGTCTACCTTACTACTTTATCTCAAAAAAAAAAAAAAAAAAAAAAAAAAATCCCTCCTCTCTTGGCCAGAAATACTTTAAAGAAGTTTCTTTTTGGTGATTTTTATCAAAGTAGCACTCACTGTCTCATGATCTGAAGAAATTCACACTCATTTTTACTATATGAGCATGACAATAAAGCAGTTAATTTTTAACAATATTCCCCAGATATAATACTGAAACTTCTCTAGGTTGACTAACCTTCCCAGTTTGCTCAGTTATAGCACTGAAGTTTTCTTGGGAAACCCCTGAAACTGAGTTGGCTTGGCTGAGATTTTATGTAGTATTTTACTTTAGGTCAAAGAAAACTCATGCTATGAATTTGAATTGCCCAGAATTTACATTTGACATTGTATTTAAATAGTCTAGAAGTTAGATGAGTCTGAATTTCTAGTCCAAAAGAATCAAAACAAAATCCAACATTTAAAAAAAAGATTAAGTAAAATAAAAATAGATTTGGTTGGAAATGAGAAATCTGACAGAAAATAACAGCATCCTTTGATTATTATGAAAACGATAAATCTTTACATTCTCTCATTTTTAAGTAATCTCTAATTACCACTATTACAATAGTTTAAACCTACCAAATAATTTAAAGAAAGCAGTCATTTCCTGTCGCTGTATAACTAGACAGGGTCCTTTCGGGCGTTTAGACTTGTTGCTATTCTGCGCATTTTTTTCAGATGCTGGCCAACTATCTTTAAAAATAGGACGCTTCAGATTAATAGGTTTTTTAGGCTGATGTGATCTACTTGACCCAGATTTTACATGAACAGTGACAGTAGGTGGTGTCTCACAACACAGCTGATTATGCCTCATTTTGCTTTCCCCAGATTCCTGTAAAAACAGAACACAATTATTTATCACACTCTTACTCAGTTCTATATAAAAACAATTAATTGGATGATACCACCAGATACAGTCATGTGAAATGTTACTGAACTTGCTACTTAAAATGTGACAGTGACTCACATGAAAAAGTGCTCTTAGAATTCAGTGCTAAGAAATGCTATGCTTCCTTTGGTTAACTGATATACCTCCTCTTCCCAAGAAATAAGACCCTGTATACCATTTTGCTTTGACTACGAGGGAACTCAAAACCAAATCTGAAAGTTAATTATAGAAACTATGCTGAGTTTACAACCTACTTGTGGCATTCTTTTTTCCTAATAATCTTTTATTTTACTTGTATTGACATAATTTTATCATATGGTTGTTATATGACACTTCAAAATTTTTTATAGAACAAGGCAAATAATTTCTGGAACTTAATTATGATCAATATCAAGTATTATATTAAAAAGCAACCCACACACACACAAAACATATTTTCCTGGTAAATTCCCTGATATGTTATGAAATTTACTTATCCAATAGCATTTATTGGTATTTATTGGAAAGTTAAAAATAATTCTAGCAAAGAGATAGATATATGGTACATGTACTTTGAGGGATTCTTGTAAACTGATCACTTCAATATTTACACTTGAGTGTATGAGCATGCTATTTGAGTGGCTGATTATAAGTGTAAATGAATGTACAGTGCTATAATCTAATAAAATTTGAAACAAAGTTTATCTATCAATATTTAACAATATGCATAATCACTACCATGTTTGGTGGTAATCAATTCATATATTACAGTTAGTATTACTTTTGTGGTCAAAATGTTTATAGGGTATAAAGGGAGGAATAAATAGGAAAAGCAGGAAACTACTCTAAGACCCTAATTAGAACCTTTGAATCCATAACTCAAAGTGACCCAAGCAGCCATGCCTCCCTTGGTGGTCAAGGAGTTAGGTACAGATTCTCCTTCCTCACCCTCAGAAACTTCCCTGCAGAAAGAAGGAATGGAAAATAAGGTTGGACTTAGTGGGCTAGATCAGTACTGTCCAATATAATGTGAGCCACATAAGTAATTATATATATATTTTTATAGTGTAATTTTATACTTTTAATGCCACATTTATAAAGTGCAAACAAGGGAATTTAATAATATATTTTACATAACCTAATATATAAAAAAATCATTTTTAACATGTAATATAAAAATTGAGACATTTTACTTTTTTTAATCCTGTCTAAAATCTGGTGTATATTTACACTTACAGTATATCTCAATTGGGATGTTAAATTTCCCACAGTTAAAGTGAAATGTAGTCCTACCAAAACAATGAAGTAGTCTGCAAGGAAAAAAAAAATATTTCACATTCATTCAGTATTTAATAATTTTAAATGAAATAAAAGTAAAAATTCAATTCTTCAGTTGCATTAACCACATTTCAAGTGCTCAATAGCCACATGTGGCTAGTGGCTACCATATTGGAAAGTATAGGGCTAGATTATGAAGAACCAGGCAGAGGAAATTACATTTAATTGATTCTATAATTGCTTCTCTCTCTACTTTGCTTCCCTCCTCTCCCCATATCTTTCTTCCTAGGTCTTAAGGTACAACCAAATTGAAGGCGATTATGGAGGTAGGGGTGCTACAAACTCCGCAGAAAAACAAATGGGTGATAAATTCAGTCATGAGACTTGTGGAAGTTTCTGCTCTTTCCTACCCACGTCATCTGGGAGACAGCTGGAGGCCTTATCTGTATCTTTCCTCCCCCTCCCCCTGAAGTTTAAGAGCAACGTTACAATCTAGATGGAAAAAAACTAAGTAGGCTTCTCAAACTGGGGTGTAGGGGTTAGGCTCAGGGGTGAAATGTACCAGAATACAGAATAACTGGGATATCTCCCAGGAGGTAAGTTTTACTCAATGTTAAGTAAGTTATATTAGTGTTGTTATATTAAAACAACCATGGATATATCATGCAATAAAGTGCAATTTTCTATCAATCAAAAAGATAAATATGCTCACAGCTTTACGCTATGCCACTAAACTCTGATGTGTTAGGATACTTCATATAAAATTTGAGAAAATATAAAGCGAAGGAAATGCCTGAAATTCCCCAAATTGATATTCACTGAGATTAATAAGCAAACATTGGCAGGGAAGTTATGAAGAAGATACTTAAGGAGAGAAGCTATCAATGCTATATTCTTGGTCAAATTCCACCTTGAGGTAGTTCTAATTTTGTTCTTCATTTAGATCCACTAAGAGAATGAGGTTCTGATAAACATACAAGAGGAAAAGACAAATAAAAATATGGGCCACTTCTGGGAAGGACAAAAGAGAGGAAAGGAGGAAGAACTAGGAGAAACTATGTTCATGAGACAAAATTCTTTAATGAGTTTTTACATGGACTCTACCAACATGAAGAAAATCATGCGAGAATTCATACTTGAATAGAATGTCTGAGATCTTTTTTGGTGTGTGTGTGGGGGGTAGATAGACAATAGCTAATTTATAGGCATCTAAATAATCTCTTCTCTCTAGAGGTAACACAAAGAGTGATCAAACAACAGAAGTAGTAGTTTGGAAATTCATCTGCCTATATGAAAACAATATCCACTGGCAATTCAGGGCAGGCAGGTAAGCCTTAACTGCAGCCTTACGCTGAGCACTTGGTATGTGCCAGACACTATGCCAAAAGTTTTGCATGCATTATCTTATTTCATTCTCAAAACAACTCTATAAGGTGGCTATTATTTTATCTTTATTTTCTAGATTAGAAGTTTGAGGCTTAGAGAAGATAAGAAATTTGCCCATGGCCATATAATTAGTGAGTGATAAAGCTAGGACTTGAATTCAGGACTGTCTGATACCAAAGCCCCATATTCTTTAACCACTACAGCATTGTTTTAAAGATTAAATGAAATCATGTGTAAAACACTTGACACATAGTAAGCAGTCCAATATTACTTACTGTCACCATGCCAGGAAAACATAAACCCAGCTATAAGATTACACTTCATAAAAATTTAATTCTAGCATTTGCAGTGTAAGTGTGCACAATAAATGATGACTTAGTGGTTATATAAGCCATTGCTGTAGGGAAGAAAGATGGGCTTATCACCTTTCTGCCAAAATAAAATAACTCTTAAAAAATAAACCCTTATTGGCCTTGGCTGGGTAGCTCAGTTGGTCAGCGCGTGGTCCCAATCCACCAAAGTTGTGGGGTCGATCTCGGGTCAGGGCACATACAAGAAACAACCAATGATGCATAAATAAGTGGAACAACAAACTGATGTTTCTCTCTCTCTCTAAAATCAATAAATAAAATTTAAAAAAAAGAATCCTAATGAAACGACTACAGCACTTTTATTTATTATAACCACAGAATCTAATTATTGAAAAACAATACAGCAAATTTAGAAAAAATATTCCTATTATCAAATCTCCAGTTTTCACGTTTAAACTTTTTTTTTCCCTAATTTAATTTATCATCTAATGGTTACAGAACACTTTCAGCCTTGTTCAAGTGCTAGATGCTACAGTGTTCGTAAGATTACATGGCACAACTGTTTCAACAAATTCAAATCTGATTAGAAACCCAACCCATCAGTGAGTAAAGCAATGCGCTTCAGTGAAGCGGTGGCAGCAAATGGAAACAAGATTAACAAAATTAAAGGAGTCACGTGCTCGAAAATGATGTGCGACAATCAGAAGGAATGAAATGAACGGCAGCTGGAAGGGACAAGAGTCAAATGAGGGTTGTTTTTAAAAGACAGGATCCTTAAGCGCGGGTGAAGGCAGGAGGGCAGAGGCGCCGAGAGGAAGAGCCAGCTCCCCCGCCAGCTTCCTCACCGCAGGCCGCGTAACTTCCGCGGCCGGCGCCGCACTCAGGAGACCGAGATAATAAAAGGCACGGTGTTTGTTTTTTTAGAACCTGGTACACAGTAAGCATTCAATAAAAATGACCTACTATTGAGCACTGTTGATAATACCCATGTAGTAGGGTTAACGAGGACGGGAACGAGTGTGTGGGTAACGCCCCCCACACAGCTGCGGCTTCCCGAGCCCTCAGCCCCGAGCAGCACGGCTATTGCACCTTTTCACGGGGTGTCTTTCAACAGCACACGACAGGCAGCCAAATTCCACTTCAACTAATGAATACAATTTAAATGTTAAAAATACTCATTGGGAACAAGATTATAGTATTTTAAAATGTGCTTATGTCTGTAAAAAGACAGGATCTCAATTTTAACACAGCATGGGTTTAATCCGCGTTTCACTGTTAAATGGCTCCCAAAGCTTTTGCTTTTTAAATTGAAGCTAGCTGGCCTCGGGTGGTACCGAAAACGTAAGCAAAGGGTTTCGCAAAATCTGAGAAATGAGCGAAAGGCGTAGAAATGACAAACAGCTGGTCAGATCTCAAGATTCTGGCGCAGACGCTCCGGAGAAAAAAGACGAATTTAGTGGGACCCCAGAAAGAGGCCGGACTTCCTCAAAATACCACGGCCCCCACCCTCAAAAGAACGAAGGCGGGCGGGCGGCGGGGTGCGGGCCCCTCCTTCCCAGCCGGTAGGTAGGCAGCCCGCAGCCCGGCAGCCAGGCCCCCGGC